TGTTACAGATATTTGAAAGTAGCATTCAAACTACTTTTACATTACATTATTATTCAACAGAGAGTACTTCATTCCCAGTGCAAAATTATTTTCTAAAGCAAAAGCAAAAAATTTTAAATACAGGTGTGTGAACTTCACTAAGACACATACTAAGAATTCCAACCATAAAATTTTTAAGTCCCAATGACATGGCTTCTAATGAAAAGAAACATATAGGCTAAAAAAAAAAAAAAAAAAAAAAAACCTGACTCTAAGGAAAATGGGAAGCAAAAAGTATAATGCTGAACTGCATGTCTGGGCCAGAAATTAGGTATGAAGACCAAGAGAGAAAGCCTTCATTGTGTGCCAACCATTGTAAAAAGAATAACAAATTATGTTAATATTTAGTATAAAGAATTACTATTGCAATTCCAATGCAAAATCGATAGCAAAAATTTTTTAATAAAGAAGGTTGATAGAATACAAGTAAGAATATCAGCAGTGATCTATATAAGAGACTAGCAATTGATCAAAGCTAACTTCATGAAGAATGGTAGAAAATAAGACATATAATATTAGATGAATGCCTGGAAACAAGCTAGGAAAGAGACACCAAACAGGGAATAAGAGAAAGACTGAAGACAATATATGTCAGATTGGAATAAAAAGAAGAGTCATTTACTATTCAACAAAACGTATTGCATTATTGCTTAGCACGGCCATTGGATATTTTTGTTCAGTATTCCAAACTGCAATATTAATTACTTTGTATTCAAAATATAATTAATGTTCTTAATCAATAACAGTTTTTCCACTTTATGCTTAGCTTTAGCCTAGAAGTGTTACAAATACTTGCCTCTTAAGACTCTGTGCATTACAAGGAAGAATGCAAATTCTGCTTAGCAAAATAATTTTAAATCCCAACAAAAGATAGTAGTAACCTTCCTTGAAATATACTGAGCATCTGATAATTTGAAATAACACTTACAGAAGAACAGATTTAGTCACTTTTAAAAAAAGTGCTTAAATTTTAATTAAAATTTACTTCCTTTTGATGGCAAAAAGCACTGATCTTTCCAGCAGTAAATATTATGGACTTGCATTAAAGACAAAAGCCTCAGCATTTAAAGCTAAAGTAGTTTCTAAATTAGTTTAAAAATTAGTATGCGGTTTTCATCTTCAATGGGTTTTATAATGGCATTTACAGACCTGCTGGCCTAAATTATACATAAATAAAGTATACATAAAAGATAATTACAATTTATGAATTATCAAATTTATTAAGTTCTTTTATAAGTTCTTTTATGATCATCAGTATTTATTAAGAGCTTAATCAGTGCATTTACCTTATGCAAAACTATGATTTTATACAAACTGCAAACAAAAATCTGTACCTTATATTAAAAGGAAAGAAAAAAAAAAAAAAAAAAAAAAAAAACACCATTGCTATCAAGTGTATTTCCCAAATTAGAAAAATATCCACCAACAAAATCTGCATACAGAAAAGAAGTTAGCATTTTTCTTACAAGATGCATTCAATTTACAGATATATGTATGTATGCATAGGTAAAGATCTTCCATTTCTCTGTAATAAATATTGCTAACATAGCTTAATTGTCAGTCATTAATTTATTAACTTAAAATTATTATATGAATATCAAACAACAGAAATCAATGCAAATAGCATATGAAAAGTTAATTGAAATAGTGGAAACTGTGCTGCAAAAAGAAAATCAACTTATTTTATTGTACACATTAGGCATATCTGCATATAAAGAAACAAACACACTTATTTTTAAATTTCTTTGAAATTTCATATAGTAGATTTTATATCTCAATATTCACTGGAAGATAAATATTAATTATATTAAAAGATTTTAGACAATTTTCAACTATTAAAGATACCTTAAATAATATTCAAGATTACTTACTCAAAAATGGTAATGTAAAGCAATGATAAAAGATATTAAGAAGCTATAATAATAACAATAATAATAATATTAAATTCATTCATTCTTTAAGGATATTACTTAATATTTAACTGCTTTAAAATAAGTTTTATAAATCTTACTACAGAACATTAATTTAAAATACCTAAATTCAAATGCTAAAAAAAACCATGAGAGATATATTAAAATGTAATTCTATCAGCACATTATTATTGTGAAACACTATATCAACTACAACAAACTGAAAAAATGATTTGCTCTCTTTTTTAGCAAAACTATACATTTCTCACATTTTATTCAGAAGACTTTTAATTTTACATGAGATTCATCAACATTTTCCATTTATCCCATTTTTTATCATCTGCCTATACACAAAGAGCAAAATAAGTATCTTGTCATATTAAATACAATATCTTAAAATTTCAGAACTGCAGATTTTTGTACATCTTGCTTCCCTTTTATGACAGCAATTCTAACTTCTCTAATTTGTTGCTACAGCTAATGCAAATATTTTGAAACAATAGGACATAAGTACTTTTCTACTAACACATTCCAAATATATTGCTCTAGAATACTTCAAATGAAAATTAAGTGGATACAAAAGGACTTCAGTGATCTGCACAATGAAACATAACAACTTTAAAATTATGTAAACTTTAAAAAACTCTAAATAAAGCAGCTCTAAATAAAGGATTCTGTGTGTTTCATGAAATAATACAATTCTACTTTCTCTAGCTGTCAATGAGCACAAAGCCAAGATTCCTCTCGGCTTGTTTCTTGAAATGCAAACTTAATATCTGAAATTAATCAAAAGATGAGTTTCTTCTCATATATATTTTGTTTACATTTGTTCATCAATGGTTTATGAATGCTTATTAAGTGGAATAACTAATATGTGATATATTTGGCAATGTTTATTTATGAAATACAATAATGTAAGTTAAAAAACAATAAATTATGAATACTGAATATATATCATAAAAAATTCAGCTTTTTTTTTTTAAACTTTATATACAACAGCATAATCGCACAAAAATTAATTCCGATAGACATGAACTATAGCAAAGCCCTTAACAACTAAATATTTTTAAAATTAATTAAAATTCAGAAATTAAAACAAATTTTTAAAATGATACTTTCTTTCAGAGCAATTCCTATGCTGTAACAGACTTCAAATATTATAAAATTCAGCAAAAAATGCAATAAAATTGTTATTAATATAAGTAAGACAGAAAAAAAAAATTTTTTTCTGATTTCTTCAAGCATCAGCTTGCAAATTAAACTATAGAACAATATCCATATCTGCATCCAAATAAGATTATTTCTGATGCTGATATGAACAAAGAAAATAAGATTTAAAAAATATGGATAAAAACACACTACTGGTGACATAAGCAAAATTGGCACATATTTAAAATCACATAAATGTATACCCCAAAATGGTATAGATTATATGGGATTAACAGAACAATGTATTATACAAATTAGGATCATTTTTAAAGCACTGTTTTAAAAAGAGATTATGCTGCAGAAGCTAGGAATGCACATTACAGTGCATTCATGATACTTAGTTCTTCCATCTTCTCTTAAAAATCTTACAACACGTTCATGTTAAGAGAAAGAAGATAAAAGATTTACTGTATAAATCTCTTTCTTACTGCCTTTTTGCAATACAGTCACAATTACTCTCTTGTAATTTCAGTGAGCTGATATTATTTTTATGACTTTTATCTTTTTAACTAGAAAATAATTTCTTCCTAATTAGGAAATGTTTCTTCCTGATTAGAAAATGACTTTTGTTTCTCTTGACTTAAAAAGGGTTTCTTTCCATTATATTTCTTGATATGAGAAAAATGCCAACCTTTTGTATATTTTGCCCTGTAATTTAGCCTCTTTTAATGTATGAACATGTCCACCTTCTAATTCATAAGTACCATGGTATGTAATTTTAACAATTATTCTTACACAGTCTATTCTTTGTATGCTAATACCGAATATTTTAGAAAATTAACTACTGATAAAAAAAAAGCTTTAATCTTAATATTTTTAAAATTTATTTCATTTTTAAATAGGAACCCAGTAGTTAACACTTTTCTCTTTTGGATATCATATTTGTAATACAATAACTTTATAGATTTTCAATCTGATAACTCCACAGCCAATTTCAGATGCAGACCTCTGTGAAATGATATAGTGATTTAGAGAAAAAGATGAGTTGGAAATAGGTTATCCTCTATAATCCATTTAAAAAAAATAAGAACATTATATTTTTTATTTTAGCTATCATCTATTGCAAAACAATGTGATCCACAAAAATTAATATGATTAGCAAATTTATAAGCAGAAAAACTGATGCTACTCAATTTCTTTTCTTTAGTTGCATTAGCACCAAATTATCAGTATAGTGCATTATGGATAAAATCCCTTACTTGCTTTTCTTTCAATAAAGTAGCAAAATATACCTCCAATTCAATTAAACTCTTTATACTGCTCTACTCCCAAGAATGCAGGATTTCGAAGAAATTTTTGAAACTTCTTTTGAGAATAAAGCTTTACTCATTCTGATCGAAGGCAATAAAAATCATGTTTATTCATAGTTACTTTTCAATTCTTTCCATGCAATGTATTTTAAAGCTTATAAATATCCTATTAATAAAATATTACAGATTTTGTTCATCTACAAATTCATATTTGCTTTTAGACTTCTTTCAATAAGACAATTTTTCTGACATACTTCAGTTGCTAGTCTAAAAGCATCAGCAAGAATCTCTGATTGAAATGATTCATTTTCAAATACCAGAAAAATAAGCAAATTTACATTAGATAGGCTAATAATTTTTTTAGATGCAACTTAATTCGTATTTTTTACTTCATAGATTTTTTTAAAACTTAATAAGTGTATTTCAAAAGCTTTAACTTCACAAACTCAAAATTATTTATTTATTATTCTATCAATACATTTATTTTACTAACAGTAAAAAAAGGGAGATACTTAAAAAATTAATAAGTTTAGCAAAATTTCTAATTTTAAATTTATTACCATTTTAGCTAGAATGCAAGTAATTAATTTTAAAAATAATAAATACTTACTTAAAGCTTTAAGATAATTAGTTAAAATATTAATTCTAATTTAACAATTTCTTTTTTTTAAATAATAAATTATTTTGTATTCAAATAATTTTAGTAGGCTTTTTGCATAAGGCAGTTTATCTGTCATGGTTTTAGACAATTCTTGGTATGACAAATATGTGAAGGAACTTTGCAAAGTTCCTACCTATACTACCAGAAATAAACACTGGAACTGTACACCATGCTTGGTAGAATATGCAACAACATCAATTTTTAGCACAGATGGAAAAGCTACATAAATGTTTCAAAACAGTTGATTCAGGTGTTAAATTATAAAAGATATTTTAACACACAATTATACATACATAAAATATAAATAATGTGCACTGTTACAAATGAGCAAAAATCACTTCCAAATGAGTTTGAAATACACAGCTTTAAGCAACTTATTCAAGTAGTTGGATTGTTTTCTCAGCCAATTCTTTGATCTTTTCATCATTGTGGTTCTTCAGAGCTTTCAGATCTGAGCGAATTGGTGTGTTGATAATTGCAGACTTTAATTTTGCTGAAGGCACAAGATTTAATATGTTATAACAATAATATCAGAAAAACAACGATATATAAATACAGATTCATGGCATACAGTAGTTAAAAGTTATTTTGTAAGGAACATCTACAGCCTAATCTTTATTTTTATTTGTGCATCATGTTACATTATTCTACCACAACATTAATAATCATATGGTCTTGGGAAACTGCCTCCCATTTATACAAGTATGTAAGATATCAATAGGTACAATTTTTGAATTTATTAAAATATGTTGAATCTCAATAGAAGATCTTTAATTTATCAACCTATTTATTAAAGTGCTGTTTTATAACATAAATTAATTTTTTAAGAAACATAAAAAATATTACATTGTAATGTTTTATAGTTTTAAATTTATTCTTTTATAAAGTATATTCATCATTTCTAAATTTGTTTCACTTTTTTGTTTTTTGGCATATGATAATACAGTGGCAAGTAGACATTTTATGAATCATAAACATTTTATGATTTGCTTCTCCTTACTACCAATTCCAGAACTGCTTAAGGTATTTGTAATTTGCAGATGGAAAAAACTCTACTATTAAAAGTATTGTCATGAAATGATTGTCATTGGCACACTGATTAATTCAGTGAAAAGCTTATTCAGGAGGATTAGTATCAATTCACTAAGGACTTGGAACAATATACTGATACTCTTATGGTACTATTTCCTGTGCCCTTCACTCAATGGATATGATCCAGAAGCTCACTGAATTACCCCCACACACTCAATGAAAGTGATAATAACAGCATTTCATTATCACTGACAGTTTATACACTTAATAACAAACAGTGATGGTGTTCAAACAATTCACACCAGTCTAGCAAAACCGATTCCTAAATATTTTTAATTTGGTGAGCAGAATGTTAAAATTTTATTGCAATATTTATTCAGAAAATTTATTGTTACTTAATAACTAATTTTATCACTTATTTAGGCAGCAAACTGGATCTTCAATTTTTCCGAATTCCATAAATTTATCCACGCTAGATTATTTTTAGACATAAACATACATTTTTTTATTGCATCAAAACTTGTGATGGAAAATGGTATCGCCATGTTAATAAAAAATGATGATAAAGGGCCAATAAGGAAGGAACGTTTCAAGCCAAGACAAAGATGTAGTCATGCGTGAGAAGAATATGTGACTGACAAAAATTATAAAAATGTAATCCACTAAGAAATGACTGAAAACAGCAACACTATGATTACAGAATTTTAATTTCAGCAAATGTGCTGGCTCAGTGAGACAATCTAGCCAAAACAAATTGGTTAGTAACACAGCCTGACAACCATGCTTGTTCCTATGTTGCAAATTTGTTCAAAATTGCTACTAAGCAATTTGATTGGGAAGTTCTGGCAAACTCATCTTATTGTCCTGAACTAGAGTTTTCTGATTTTAACCTTTTGTCTGTTTAACTCAAACAATCTGGGAAGTACTAATTCAGAAGTCAACAACAAAAATCAATGTTATATTTTCAAATTTTCACAGGACTAGTTTCAATGGTTTTACTGAACCACCATCGTCAGCTGCAAAAGCGAAAATGAAGGAGATAGGATATAATGATCAGATAAGATAAGAAAGCCTGGAGAGAAAATAAGCTAGTGGCGCCATCTGTTGATGAAACCAGAACTTACACATAATTTCTTTATGTTTAAAGAAAGATATGAGGTAATGGTAGTGCCTCAATGATTTCTATTACTGAGGCATTGCCATTTTGGTAGAATATCTATTTTACCATCAAATGATTCATTAAAAGTTAAATAACTAGAAAAAACCAAAAAACATTATATATAATGTTAAACACGGATAACTCTTGTAATAATCATTTATTTTGATTAATTTTTTATACATTAAATATATTTTATGGAAATTATGTATGAAATATAACATCAGCCAAGTTTTGTCAGTGTATCCACCATTTTTCTCGATACAGAAATTGGCTGTTTTTAACGTATTTTCCATTACACCACGTAATGTTTCTGGTTGAAGGCTCAGTATTTCATCTCGAATATTCTACTTCAGCTGTCTAATAGTCTCTGGTTTATTAATATACACTTTATTTTTTAAATATCCCCATAAAAAAAGGATTCTGCTCCACCATTGGCCCAAAAAGTTTTCAATCATTCTTCTGTAAGAAGCTCCAGAAATCGTTTCCGGCGTTCCATCCTCATTCTTGAAGAAATAACTCTATTGGCCATAACACTGCACCAAACAGTACACTTAAACATTGCCGATATTTACGCTGCGTCATAACAATTTATTGTTGACAAGAATAGAAAAACTCGATAATTTTAACGCATTGTTTTGTACTGCATGGTTCCATAATAAATTTCCAAGAATTCAATTATAATCTACAAAAAGAAAAAATAATTATACCAAAAAATAAAAAAGTTATTTATGTTTAACATTAGTAGGTCTTATTTGGCCCACCCTGTATAAATATGAAAGCTTTCAGATTTTACATTATGCCCAAAGGGGCATTTTTTTAATGTTTCGTGTGTTACCTTTATTTATTAAATATCATGTTCTTCCCACTTAAACCATACAATTCAGTTCAACAGAAATATCGCAAAATAATTTTAAAATGAGCATATCTTTAGAATTTCCAATACACAGTCTCGAGTGCTAGAGATAGTTTCCCCCACATACAGTGTTGCCATTGTTTGCTTTTTAAATCGTTGAATCTCTTAATCAAAAATTTATTAAAGTTTTACAAAATAAGAAATAGATAATAAAACTAATTCCAAATTTGAGCTTCCAGATGCCCATATTCAAGTGGAACTTATTTTATCACAGTGCAAGAAACATACATAAGTTTATGCAGATTCTTCATTATTTAATTTCTTTAAATATAATATATGGCTCTAATATTTGGTGGCAACAATTTGAAAAGTGAACTTATATTTCAACGCAAAATGCCAAAATGAAATTAATAGTCTCTTCTGGGCAAATTGGCCCTTTGGATTAATAAATTTATTTGATAATGATATACACAGTTATATCAACATCTATAAGTAATTTAAGAACAATATATATAATTTTCTAATAATATATTTAACTGACAATCTATAAGCTATCTGATAACTTGCACAAAGACCTACAACATTAATGTAATTAATAAAATGCATTTTTTAATGCTTTCTACTATACAATCAACTATAGAATCACAGTTTCAGGATAATTTTTGCAATGAGTTTGCTATATTTTAAAATTTTTACTTTCATATTATATTTTTTTCTAACAATCAAACATTGAAAATTATCTGCCTTTTATCTTTTATTTATATAAACCATATATTGCATAAAATTCCAAATGTTAAATTTCTACCACTTTTATAAAAATATGTAGAAACCATAATTAAGTAACTCTACACCTCTGACTAACCTCATTTAATTTTTAATGTACAAATTAAGCCATTTAAAAAATTTAGTTTTTAGAAGTTTTTCACTTTATTATTTTTTAATGCATATAGATTTAGAAAAAGGCAGAGCAAAGGTTTAAACATGCATGACTAGTTTCTGTCACTGCTTATAAACTAAGTTAGTTATGCAATTCTCCATTTCTATATTTTATTTTCAGTTTTTCAAATACTTCCTTGTCTTATTTTTGAACTGATACCCATAAAATCAATTCTTTATTTTTAATTAAATTGTTGCTCCTGTTAATTTCTTTGCTTGGAAGTATTATATTGCTTATTTATTTTCACCTTTTAAATCAAAAATTAATACTCCATTCATTAAGAACGCCAGAACTAATTTTTAACATCTTTTCCTCCTGTTTTTAATATTGAATCTATCACTTACCCTTAATTTGGACTGTAGTTTATATTAAGGACTAAGATTGTTAATTTTATTTATTAACGTCTTTCAATTAATTATTGTACTATTATACTGGGTTGGTCATAAGGATCTGTTAGTTTTCATGGCACTATTACAAGAGAATGTATTCGAACATTGTTAGAAACAGATATGTTCATGGCTTAAAAATGATACTAAACAGATTACTTTTCCCATTACGATTAATGCAATCCTACACTCAATTTAAAAATTCCCGTAAAAATTTCACATAATATGATGTAGTATTATTGTAGAAAGGTTCTTGATGACAGCTTTGATTTCAACACGACATTATACCATAAACCGCGTAGATAAGCAGGAATTTTCTTCATATGATATTTCATAGTTTGATCTCCTGACCATAGGCTCCTCCTCCTCATAGGCTTGGATCTCCTGACCTAACAATTCTAAAACTCTTTATATGGACCATAAAATGAGGCTGGGCATAATACTACCTAGGTTCACTTCATCCAGATAATAAACAAACATATTATGTGTAAAACTCATCACTCTGATGTTGTAAAATAGCAACCAATAACAAGAAATTTTCAAAATTAATACAATATTTATACTAAAGTTTACCATTTGATGCAATTTTTGCAATGTATATGCACTTCAATATATTGCAATAATTCATCTTCATATTTCTAACAGTGCTTCTATACACTTTGAGCAAATTCTTTAAAATACAATCATGAACATTGTGAGATAATTGTGTCCATCACCCTATACATGCACATAATATGATTGTAATTAATGTCTAAAAAAATGAAGGGGGAAAAAAAGAAGTATTCATACATAAGTGCATTCGCAAAAAAGTATTCATGCATAAATAGTGCATTGGTGTCAAACTATTAACTCTAATATTATGTAAATTTAATAACCTTTTTTAGAACTACATTAAGAAATTTAGTAGCATGAATTCAACTAATTAATTCAGCTAATGTTTTAATGAAACAACAAGCATACCTGACTGAGAGAGAACTACAAGAAGGGATAAAGCATTCTGTGTAAGTTCTGGTACAATAATATCACTACTCATGAGTTGGTATAGAACATTGATTAGATCAGTTGCACTAGCTATTTCTTCCACATCACCTGAAGACCGAAAAAAATAAAATTTTACTAATTAAATTACAATAACCTGCATTTTAGAATTATTAATATACATGAATCTTCTTACATCAAAACTCTATAACTCAAAATGATGAATAATTTTAATAAAGAAGATATGTCATGCTTCCTGATCAGCTATTTAGTATCTCATGCTTAATTAACCATGGTTTACTGTATCTTTTCCTCAAAAAAAAATTGTGAAACGCTTAGAGATAAGAGGTTTTTAAGCTACAAAAATGACTGTCATGTGAAAGTGCGTCACTGCATAATTTGAACTAATCTTTCATTGTTTATGCAGTACTTTGCATGATTTTTATTGCTCTACGATCCTTAAAAACTGTATGTTATACAGGAATATAATATTTTTTCGCTTTTATCAGTATCAGGTTGAAATGTCAGAATTCCTCCCATTCATATGTGCACAAAAGAAAAATAAAGTACATTCATAGTCTGAAATTCAGCACTTTATAAAATTTCTATATTTAATGTTGGTGATATAGAACTATGTTTAATTTATTAATATTATACTTTACACTGTTGTATATATAAAAATTATGATTTATGGACAACATTCAGTATCCTGGAACCATAAACCTGAAGTATTTAATAAGGTTTTTATAACTTTACCATAATTCTTTTCATTTTTGTGTACATATTTTAAAACTTTTCACAATATTTATTATTTACAGCATGTGATAACATTCACAATAAACTGATACTGCTGTAAAAAATGTTGCTCAGGACCTTTCATTTATTTTCAGTATTATTATGTTGCACAATACAGCATAAGTTAATTTTTTAAAAAGCCATTTTGTCCATATTTTACAACAAGTGTAACTTTACACCATTATCAAAATAGGTTTCTAACAATTGAAAAATAGGTTCTTCATCAACTGCAAAATTTTGAATTTCTTTTTATCTGCATCCCTGCCAAAAAGCTGCAAAAAAGTATTCATGAGACAAAGTAGTTATTTGTTTACCAAACAAATAAAGTTGCCAAAATAGTTATGTTGCAAGCACAATGTCACCAGAAAGTATTTATATGGCAATACAGATATTCACATGTCTGTTTTGGCAGATACAAAATGCCAAAATGCAGAGTCCAAGATAGTGCAATTTTTCCTCCTTTTTTTTTAGAAGCAAAAACAGATTACTGCATGTTTGCAGAAAACAACAATGAAAAAAAAGTGGACTTCTCGAGAAAGTTCCTAATACTTTTTTTATTTTTAAAAATTTTATTCATTCATTGCTTTTGTATGGTATTTTAAGTACACCGCCTTTGAAAATGGCAATGAACTAAAAGTTGTTTTTTAATGGCTGGTGCATTAGATTGGTGAAAACGTAATCACCAATGAATTTGTGAATGCTCTCCAAAGTTGGCAATGAGTTTGCAACTGTTTGGTGGAGGTGCAGATAATCAGAAAGTACCTTTTCTGTTTATACAGTACAAAGTCAGTAATCCGGACATGTCGGGACTTCGGCATTTCCGGATTAGGGTTTTTTCCGGATTATAGATCGTCAATTTAAATTGGGTAAGATGGCATGCAGAAATTATACAATTAAAAATATGAAACCATAATTTATGAAATAAAGAGCAATTATGATCTAAAGGGTACCAAATTTTACAAAAAAAAGAATGCTTAATATTTATTTGTTTACCTTATTAAACATTTCTTTCAATGCAAGTTGTTTAAGTTGCTTCGTTTTTGTGCTAATACTTTCTCTTTAATTCTATAAACGGACATAATTTCTTATTCAGTTACAAAGTTCCACTGTTCAAGTCCTGTAATTGCTGTGCCGAGAAAAATGACTAACTTGTCAATCGAAATTTCTTCAATTTCACTAACCTCTTTGTCACTTTCTTCATGCCTTTATCCATTTTTTTTTTTTTTTTTTTTTTTTTTTTTTTTTTTTTTTTTTGCAGGAATTCCACTTTTTGTTTGATTGACATCAAAACATATTTTCGCTTTGTAGATCCTTTGGCAGCTCCAGAATTGGAAACTCTTTTTGACATAATCGAAAGTTCAAGCTTAATTTTTATAAAATTGCTCTAACAGTCTGCAAAAATCCGTGCAACCGTCTACCAAAGTAGCACCAAAAATAATAAGCCGGATCCAATTAGAAGATTAAGGAACAGCACAATCTGCAACATTAACTGAAATAGATAATTACATAATTTTAGCCTAGCTTATACCGTCCATTATACATTGAATGCGCATGCGTAAATGTATTATGCGCATGCGTACACGCAAATGCTGACGCATACAGTTTGTAGCTTTGAATTCCGGATTAAAGATTTTGTACTGTACCATTTTATGCTAAAAAAGAAAATGCAGAAACCAACACATTTTTAAAAACTAAAACTATTTTGCACTTTTTACATTTTAATTTTATTCATTTTGAGAAACAAATTAACTTTTGACATGATTTAACAGTAGTATATATATTTTTATTTAAAAGGAATGAAATAATCACTTTCAAATGAGGTACAGGTTTTCGTGGTTTTTAATTTTATATATATATAAAAAAATCTTTTAACTTTTCAATGATGAGCTTTTTTAGGATGTTAAACTGTAATATAAAGTTTTTAGATAGAAAAAAAAATTTTTTTTTTGTTTTAACACAAAAAATTTTCATTAAAAAAAGAGATAGACTGGCCAAAAATTCTATTTCTAAAATCACAGGCATCATATTTACAACATAGAAAATGAAGAAAGCAGAATAATTTAAAAATCTAGTAAAAAGGAAAATAAGCATTAATTAAAAAGACAAAAAGTAATAAAAATTACACACTAATATTCAATAATTGCAGAATTAATGCACAAATCAGATTGTCAATAACAACAACGTTTGCTTCTATGTAACATAATCTTTAGGACTGTTGTTGTGAATGATTGACAAATGATTACGTTCTAAATAACACAGTCTTCCATAAGGCAGTTTCAGATGATAAAAACTTAGCTTTTAGATAAATATGATAGGAATTACTTGCATTTAAAAAGTGAGCTGAAATATTTTTTGTTTATGTTTTAGGAATGCTCTGTTTTATCAAATTCAGAATTTTAACAATTCATTACATTTTACATCTCAAATTTCAAGAAACAATATTTCTCATAATTCAGAAAAATCAATTTTAAGTCTTTTCAGTCTAGATATTTTGATAGTTTTACATTTTCATTTTATTAATTCAATACACATGCTAAATTAACACTATATAACTAAATCTTACTTAGACAATGCGATGCAACCAAAGTAATAGCTATCAATGCTTCATTTTGCATCACTGTATGCTCAGACTTCATCATTGAAATTACAGGAGGCAAAGCATTAGCTTTCACAAGATTCTTCATCACAGATGCAGCTTTTGAATTTTTTGCTGACCATGCTAGCATCCTTGTAGCCTCACCTAAATAATAATACATGCTTAAAAGAAACATAAAATGTAAACAGATAAAAAAGACAATTATGTAAATATCATTGCTGGCTTGGTATAATGAGAACATATGCAATGCATATCTTAGACTTTGAAAATAAGTAATACTCTTGTACTTGCAGTTTCTTTCTGTTGGCAGGGCTACTAAGTGATTGAAGCATTTTTAATCCTGTTGTTGCCTTTACTATTGCAAGCGGATAATGCTACTGTGGAAGCCCAAAGCTGTTCATCCTGAATAAAAGAAGATTCGCTTTCCAAACAGTCGATTTATTTGAGTCAGATACATGGCATTAACATTACAGGTTTGGTGACCCCATGGACATGATATGCAACGAGGGAAGCTACGGAGATTGTAAAGAGGATGAGTAGACAGCTCTTTATTTCTTTTACAAGTAGAAGGCATTGGATTAAATTAGTTCACACTTCAAGAATGTTTTTTGAAAAATCGCTTGGTTAGATGGTTTAACTGGTGAAAGAAAATGCAAAGAGTGAAAAACCTTTTGCTATTGAACAAGCAAAGCATAAAAGTACAGTTAGTAACTAAGCTAGTTAAAAAAAAAAAAAAAAAAAAAAAAAACTTTTGCTTTTAAGCCCTTTTGCCCTTTGCTTTCTATCCAGAAATATCCAGAGAAATGGTTTTGTTGCTTGAAATGTAGGCATGTTGCCAAACAGTGTTGGTGCAAAGAACCTGGAAAATATGCAATCAGCCACATAATTATTTAATTTAGAACAGTTAATAAGAGTGAGGACAAAACTGAAAATATATTAATTCCAGTTTCTAATTTAAATTATTCATGAAAGGAAATTACTACAAACTAGTAGTGCTATTTTAAAGGCAGAAAGAAAACAAAAATTAGGGAGAATTTAGTATGATTCTGGATTTCAGCATTGCTTTGTGAAAAAGGAAATTTCAGATACTTTAGCAGTAGTTTAGAAGGAAACTGTTAGGAATTTGGGGTGAAAGTTCTATTTCAGTTTGCTATGTAGTTCAAATAGCAGTTCCAACTTGGTGGGTGAATCAAATGACACTCAACAAAGGCTTTGAACTATTAGATATTCAAACACATTCAGATGTTGATGTTTTAATAGGAGTTAGTTATTTGCATGATAATTATATGCTGAATCAGTAAGATTAAGAAGGAGATTAATTGCTACTGATAATATTTTTGGATTTGTAGCTCAAAGAAGAACTATTTTTTTAGCCAGGCTCTTCAACGGTATCTGAAAGCAATGCAGCAGATAAACAGAAATTACTTCTGAGCATGTAAAAAAAGCCTCATGGGAGTTAGAAGCAATAGGAATCAAATCTGAAGTTGAAAGTAAATAATGCAATGAGAATAATATGCATTTGTTTGAAAGTAACATGGTATATTATGAAAAAAGATATGAAACAAAACTTCTGTGGAAAAAGGAGCATCAGAATCTAGGTAATAATTATGTGGTCTACGTTTTTAGGCTGGAAAACAAATTAAGCAGAAATCTAGAATTATTCCAGCACTATGAAGTCTTGAGGAAGCAGCTGAACAAGGGGTTATTGGTGAATGTCAGTTATTACATAATTTGAATTATTACCTTCCTCATTATGCAGTTGTTATAGAAGAAAATTCTATAACTAAATTATGCACTGCATATGATGCAACACTAAAGATTTAAATAAAAAAAAAAAAAAAAAAGGAGCATTCATGAATGACTGTCTTGATTCAAGAATTCTACCAGATTTATTTAAGGTAATATTAAATTTCTACAGATTTACAGTTGGATTTAGAGTAGAAAGCTTTTCTGCAGGTAGGAAACAGTGCAGAAGCCTGGAATTTTTTCATACTCCAGTGGTTTAAGAATAAACAAGTAGATTACCAAGCAAATGACTTCAAATTACTGTAAAGGCCCTTATTTTCGTGGGCCGTAATTTTTGCGAAAATGAATATATCGGTGATTTCGTGAGCTGAAAATTTCGCGAATTTTATATGAACAGAACCGAAAGTTGAAAAATTTCAAAAGTACCTAAGTAAAGTTGAGAAAGTTGAAAAAAAAAAAAGTATTTCGTGAGGCTTAAATTTTCGCAATTACGACGGGCTCACGAAATTCGCGAAAATAAGGGCCTTTACAGTATATAGATTTGCAAGAGTTTCATTTGGGGTATCAGATAAGCCATTTCTCTTTCCTGCAACTATTACATTTAAAGAAATACACAGAAAGAAAAAACGAAGTTTGCTAAATGCTACATAATCTTTGTGCTGATGATTTAATTTATGGAGCAAATACTGTAGAGAAAGCTTTGTCCTTGTCTTCGGAGGTGCAAGAAATAATGGCAGAAGACAATACAAACTTACATTAATTTGCCATGAATTCTAAAATACTGAAAGACATATGGACAGAAAAAATTATTGACTGTCAGCCAGCCTGTAACTTCAACACAATATACCATTGAAAGTTTCAGGATTTGTATGGAATAACACAAAAGATATACTGAAAATTGATTTATACAGCCTTTGAAGGGAGATTGAAAGCTTTGGAGAAACACAAACTAGAAAGCATATTGTGTATTACGTACCTGTGGCAAAGTATTCAACCACCCATTGGTATGACTGCACCTTTTATAATCAGAATGAAAATATTACAACAGTTACTTTGGAAAATCAGAATTAGTTAGAATGAACCATTATCTAATGATCTGCAGTTGCAAAGCAAAGAGTGGTGTACAAAAATCAATCACCTACAAGATTTGGCCATCACGAGAACCTACTACAAATATTTTAAATCTAAGGAAATACAAGTAAAGATGACACTAGTTTAGAAGCTTATGGAGCAATGGCTTATTTCAAAACCAGATTCTGAATACGTCGGAATATAAGTTTATTTTAGCTATGTCTTGATTAGTGCCATTTAAGCAAATTACACTTCCACAACTCCAGCTTCTGGGAACTCTAATAGTGGCAAAATTAGGGAATTATTGATGTCCATATTTATACTTCTTAAACCCAGTGATATATTTCTTTGGACTGATTTATAAATATGGTTGTACCAGATCAGGGGCTGTGCTTGAGATGCGCAACACTTCATCTCCAATCGTGTGGCAGAAATCCAATAAAAGTCGGAACCTTAAAAAGAAACTTTCGTCCAGGGAAAGATAATACAGCCAATAAGATTATGAGAGGGTGTAAAGCAAATTCTTTTGTGTTGGATAGGCTATGGTAGAATGGACATAGCTGGCTTTAGGAATCTCAGAATACCAAGTTCCAGACATCAAACCTTAAACGTCAGAACTATGCAGACATTGAAAATGAAAGGTAGTTACCATATTTGATGGCATATAAGACGCACTTTTTCCCCTAAATTTGCTCTCAAAAATGTTACCTGCGTCTTATACGTGAAGGACACAGGTTAACTTTCAATACTGAATGCTATTTTTAGCCTGGATAAAGGTCTAGACACACATAACGTTTTCTACATTTGCCATAATTATTTTTGTGCATGCATGAAATATCTGTCGCATAAAAGCGCCAAAGCTCGAAGCTGATGTCGAAGTTCGAACAGGTTCGACGGTCACATTATGTCTATGGAGCCTTTCCTTCTTTACATAGACTTTCTTTGACTCAGCCGACACACGTGTCAGTATCGGTGCACTCTGTATAAACGTCTCGGTATCGGTACTTAAAACTATTTGTTTTAAAAAAATATCTGGAAAATATTACTACAGGAAACAAGAGATTAAACTATACAATTCGGTATAAACTAGGAGTGTTAAACTATGCCAAAGTGCATGGAAACAGAGCAGCAGCAAGGCATTTCGGGCCACCACCTACCGAAAAAATGATACGTACTTGGCGACTGCAGGAAAATCTACTGAAGACTGCTAAAAAACAAAAACATAAGCTTCGATGCCCAGCTCCATCTTGGCCTGAACTTGTCATAAAAACGTGGGTCATAGATAAGAGGAAATCTGGGATAAGTGTTTCAACCAAAATGATAATCAATGAGGCCAAAAAATTTGCAGAAAAACATGGGAATCAGAACTTTTCAGGGTCTGAGGGCTGGTGCTACAGGTTCATGAAAAGGCAAGACTTATCAATGCGCACAAAAACAAAATATTGCACAGAAAATGCCAGCAGATTATGAAGAAAAAATACTAGCATTTCATAGGTTTGTTATAAATGCATGCAAGAAAACTTTTTTTGAGCTCGGTCAAATAGGAAATATGGAAGAAATTCCACTCACATCTGATGTACCATCCAACAAGACTGTGAGTATTAAAGGGTCTAAATCAATAACCATAAAAACCACAGGTCATGAAAAAACCCAATATACGGTAGTTCTAACATGTTATACCGATGGCACAAAACTACCGCCATTTTTCATATTCAAAAGAAAAACTTGCAACTGGTGTAATTGTTCATGTTCATCCGAAAGGCTGGATGGACGAAGCTGGAATGAAACTGTGGTTACAGAACTTATGGGCGAGGCGACCTGGTGGACTCTTAAGAAAACCCTCTCTTTTGGTTTTGGATCAGTTTAGCGCCCATAGAACTGAAACCATAAAGAATAAAGCGAGAGAATTAAAAACCCAGATAGCTGTCATTCCTGGTGCACTGACTAGCCAATTGCAGCCTTTAGATGTATCGGTGAATAAGCCATTTAAGGAAAAAGTGCAAGAACGATGGAACAAGTGGATAGGAGAGCCACATCACGCACTCACATCCTCAGGTAGAATGAAGGGCCCTCTATTTCATAAATGTGCAAGTGGGTAAAAAGATCTTGGGAGGACATAAAGGCTGAAGTAATTGTTAAGTCCTTTAAGAAGTGCGGAATCAGTAATGCTCTTGATGGAACAGAAGACAACGCATTATTCGAAGAACGTGATACTAGCGATGACGGAAACAGTAGTGATGACGATATTCTTGTTTTCAATGATGATGATAGTGAAAAGGATTTTTATGGTTTTGAAAGTGATTAAAGTCTAATTTCATGATATGAAA